AGATAAATTTGCTTAATGGAAACACGGCAATCTAAAAATAAAAAAAAGAACTTACCCCCCCCCCCAAAAGATGCAGTTTTCATGTTGAGTAAGAGGTCCAAAGAACTTGCAAAAAAGTATAAAGCAGCTTACAAGCTGCAATTGAAAAATCTTGTGCAGATTTTATGTCCTCAGTACCTGATTCCTATCTCAGCAGACATGCTGAAAGATTAAAAGTACATTCACAGTTTAAACCTTCCCGTGTTCGGACACCGGCCAAGTTAATTAGAGTGTGGAGAGGATTATTTTGGCGAAACCTGGCAGAGGAGCGTTAGTGAGAGGTGGGACACCTTTAGAAGTGGCGCGCAGTGCGAACCTGTAGAGAAGTAGGGATTATTTGGATGTAACACGCAGTGGGTTTCTTGTTAGAGGGGGGCGTCGTCACAGTCTGTCTCTGTGGTAAATTTGATTAGGGCTGGCAAAGGGAGGCGATCCAACCGTGAACAGGTGCCCCTCACAGCTGAGTTGGGTTCACCCCACGGCTCCTCTCTGCCTTCTCCCCTAACGTTGGACTTCCTGCTCTTTGTTCTGCCTCGGCCTGTCCGTGTAATCTCTCTCCATTTTCGCTGCCGTTCTCCTTGCGCCGTTGCTGCTGCTCGGGGTTCATCTGTCTCTGTTTATGTGGTAATCAGTGGTGGGAATGGAGGCTCCGGAATATTCAGGAGGTCCACCTTGAAATGCTTCTCCGTCGCGTGACTTTCACTGACCTTCTCAAACCCCAGGAGCTTGTCTCCGGCCCCCCCTGCTGTGCACTGTCTCCCAGCTTCCTATGTGCTCACTGCCCCCCCTCAACCCCCTCTGCATTACCCACCTGTTTGGATCAGTCCAGCCAAACTCAGACCACAGGAAAACACAGACCCACAGGGTAGAAATATTTCACTGTTACAAGAGGAGAGACTGACAGGATGTTGTTTAATATAATAATCTGTTTTTTGGGGGGGAGAACTTAAGGTTTTTGTTGTGAATTTTGAATTTTCTTATTGCCAATGCCAACAACTGTCATCAACATCTCTCTCTCTAATTTAGCTATTTAAACTAGGGAAGAGAATTTAACCCGTTAATTTTATTGAAATAGATTTTAATGCATTAAAAATGTCAATTTTTTTAAATATTAAATATACAAAGATTTCCGTCGGAACCTTTATTTTCCCATGTTTTCAGTACGCTCTTAAATCTGATGCACAAGTAAAATTTGTTAAACGATGGACGACGAAGTCACTTCTGTTCGGCCACTGGGTGTTTCTGTGACGTATGTATCGTGCCAGTTTGATGCTAAGAAGATTACTAGATATTGCCTGTACTGTAAACAACCGTTCTTCACTGTGAAGCTGTCAATGTGAAATCAATATTTAGTAGCCTAACCAACACGGGCTAAACGGCTTTGTTCACTTCCTGCACTGCCGACGTCATTGTTCACGGCTTCTCCTTCTGCTCTCTGATTGGCTCAGTTAAAATCCTCCTGGAACAAATCTAAGTCAAGGTCAGAAAGCCCAGACCGAGCCTTTAGTGAGATTTGAATCAAGTGGAATAGCTCAGGAAGGCACCTAGTCGGAATTCATGTAAAATATTTACTTACCTGTTAAATGTTTCTTTTCGCCTCTTGCCTCCACCAATGCCATGTCTTTGCTTCACCAAAGCTCCTTGCTTTGTGTTTTTGAAAACCAGTTGGTATGTTTGCTATTTCATGTACCAGGAACTTTGTTGGCTAACACAAAGAGTACAATGTGAGCTTTAATTCACTTCTCCTCGGCCGTTACCCACAATTCTGTGAGAGTAAAGATCAGAATTGAAGTGCAAGGAAATTTATTTTTGTATTCTGAATGGGCAGCTACTTTGGTTATATTTCCAAGCAAAATGACATTTCAGGAGGATTATCAGCTAAAGTGACCTTGCTGAAAATACTGATGATATCGCAATAACCTGTTTGTGTTGGAAATAAAAGTACTTTTAAAGTGGTGAAGGAGCAGCTTTAGTCCTTTTCCTCAATGCAAAGAGTAAAGTGATGGACAGAGGCGGCTCACCTCCTCAGGACCAGAGGCTTTCATCACCAGCTGTAGCAATTAACCCCTCGTTCCTCTAGGGAGCCATTAAAGGGTAAAATAGCCTTTAAAATTACATATGGCCACAATTAGAGCAGAGAAAGTGATAAAATGATTTGACTCAGATTTTTCTTTATAGATTTTTTAGGAAATGGCTTTTTTATTGAGTCATAAATTGGAATTAGAAAAAAAGGGTTTTTTGTACTTATTTCCTTTACTCTTTCGATCTCCCTACTTGATGTACTTTTACTTACTTCGAAGTTTTTACGAGCCCTCTTCTCTGTGCTTAATTCATGTCTCTTATTATTTTGCCTCGCCTATCATTTCTATCTAACCACTTTTGTTCAAATCTCCTTTACAAATGGAAACTGAAGTAGCAGGAAAATGATGCATGCTATTCAACATTTTTAACAACTAAAAACCTGAGAGGAGCTGTGGTATTCAGTGGCTTTTACTCTGATACCCCAAAATCAAATCTGGTTTGACCAAATGCATTCAGAACTCACTTAATTCTCAGCATAGAAATAGATTTTCTAGGAAACAAAGAAGCAAAATTAGATCCATAGTAATTCAGTTCAATTCCTTTTATTTCCATAGCACCAATTCACAACTAATGTCACCAAAAAGTACTTAAAAAAACAAAAACAATTCAATCATACATACAATGCCATTGATCCTAGCTATCAAACAGTACGCTCAAAGTAGTTTAAAAAGTAACCAGAGGAGCTGATCATGATCTCAATGTGAAGACCATAACTATTAGTGTGGTCACTATACAAACTCAAAATTCTGACTTTAATTTCAGAATTCTGACTTTTTCTTCTGAGAAAATCTCAGAATTCCGAATTATTTATTTTTATTATTTATTTATTTTTTCCAGTGGCCCTAATCATGTTCTGTAGTTGTACATTACTTTTGTACTAGCTTGTAGAATTAAAGTTTTCTTCTTTGCCCCTTTACCTGATCTGCTTTACTTTTCACTACTCCTCTTATTCCAGAAGAATTCTCTCTCTCTCTCTCTCTCTCTCTCTCTCTCTCTCTCTCTCTCCCTCCCTCTTTCTCCCTCCCTCTCTCTTGCATGTATTTCCTCTCTTCCATCCTCCTCTCTCCTGCCTCTTCCATCCTTCTCTCCCCATCCTCTCCCCCTCTCTGGCGTCTGATCTCCCTCTTGTCGTCACTCTCCTCGGTTCCTCCCGCTTTCCTCGCCTCTCTTTCGCTCCTACAATAACAGAAGGAGATGGCATAAGCATCTGTGTCATCAGCGCAGATTAATGTTCAAATAATATTCACAGATGTCATTTCAAAATTCTCCATTTGTTTATTTTTTGCTCTCAGCTTCTTGTGGTTTCAGTCTCTCTCTTTTTTTCTTCCCTGTCAATAAATCACAGGAGCAATCACAGGCTCATCATGGACTTCAAAGCAGCCACTTAAGACATCCCGCCTCATTCAAGTGACACACACACATGAACACACTCACACTGCTCTCCAGCTGCGGTGTTTTTGAGTCATTCTTAATCGGGATAATTACACATGAGAGGAAGTAAATGAGCGAAGGGTTTAGTAAAATGGGGTTGTGAGATAGATGGAGAGAGCGAGAGAGGGGGAAAAAAGGAGCAGGGAGAATCCAGCATTCATGACACATTTATTAGTTGCTTATTATTTTTGCTGCTGTAGTTGTTTGTTTACTCATTAAGGATAATCCAATTAAAGCACTTAAAGAGGGGCTTAAAAACAAGCAGACACACGGAAACCTCTTGGAGAGAGAGGACAGGTTGCGGTTTCGGTCTGGCAATCCCCCTCCCCGCCTCTACAAACAGGGCTGGAGGATGGAGTGCCAGGGCCTCGGGCGGGGGGCTGAGACCACAACATGCCACCATGGCGACTTCATATTGGCTCGGGAGCTGGTCAGCCGCCTCTCCCCTCTCTCTCTCTCCTCCCCCCCGCGGTGCTTTCCTGTCGCGTGTTGGCTGACTGGTTCCCCATTGCACATATGGCCACTTACACTGTGTTCTCCTCTAATTAGCTGCTCTTGTCTACATGGACGCTCTGACTTTGTTAAAACATCACTATGCTTTCACTGGCACGTTAGCGTCTTGTTAAAAAAAAAAAAAAGGGATCCATCAGAGTGGGGTTGATTGAGGGGAGGTGGGGGGGATCCTGGCCTAATAAAGAGAATAATCACGGCTCGTTTTACACCAAACAAGCAGTGGTAAGCTAAAGATAGGCATTTTTAAACTTTCCTTTTTTTTGTGTGTCACTTATTCAAATTGAAATATCCTGCGATGTCTTACAGTGGAAACCCCCCCTCCCCCCCCACCCCCGAACGCTCGTCTTCGTCCGATCAAATTTCATTAACCCACCTCGCCAGATTCTGTGTGACGGAGACAGAGCGCAATGAAAGAGGATGTGAGTGACTCTCCTTTAGAGTTTCATCATTAATTATTAGTCTCTGGTTCCTCAGAGGAAAGAAGCTGATGACAGCTAATTAAGGATGAAGTGAAGTATTCCTCCCCCCACCTCACACACACACAATCACCCCTCCGTTCTCCTTGGGCCTTGTCCCCTCCCCGTCCACCTGACAAATCATGTGCTAAAAAAAAGCAATGTAAAATGAGTATAAAATAATAAAAAAAAGAGAATATGGATTAATAGCTTCTTATATTTGCAGACCAGCTTTTAGCATGTTTTCGCTGGCATTTTCACATTTTGTCTTTGAGGTTGGAAGGGCTGATTGCCGTCACCCTGATCCTCAACTCCCTCCATAGATTCTCTATCAGACTCAATTTATGGCTCTCCCAAACACAAATATCACTTCTAATCTGAAGAAACACGTTGATGCAACTAAAAGATTGCTTTAAAGCTATATTTGCTTTGAATAATTTTTGTTGTAAGTTATCTACTCAGGATAACACCCTAATTCCAAAGTCATATTTTCTCCAGGTTCATTCATTTATTCATTCATAAATGTCACAGTTTCAAACTAAAGTTCATTTTCACTTATCGGCAAGAACATTTAGTTTCGATGTGCTAGCTTAATATGTATCTCTGAGATCTAGATATTTGTCTCTCAGCAAGCTAAATATTCTAAATAGCTAGCTGCAAGGTAATTGTAACTCCAGCTATCTAATAGCTACCCACCAGCTAGCTATTTAACTAGTTAAATATCCTGCTAACTAAATATTTAGCTGGCTGAGAGCTATATATTTAGCTTTGAGCTCATTGAATATTTATGGAGCTAAGTATTTACCAAGTGATTAGCTAATTAAATATTTATTTTGGAATTATGATATTTATAAATGAATAATATGGTGACAATCTAAATATAATTTTCATGTCTTTTTGCTTATGACAGGCTAAATAACCAAAATTATTGCTGTTAATTTTTTACTGTAATTTTACAAACAGAATCCCAAAAATTGTGAAAGTCTTTTACTTTTGTGCTAATGCGAACCTCCGAAACAGGTGCTAACTTTAGCATGGCTAGCAGCTGATGGTAAGCCAGCGTTCACAGTACATTACAACCCAGTCCATATTTTTCCTGTAACTCTGTTAATCTTCCTCAGTTCACCAAATGCCCAAACCATGTCCTACTAAATAATTTAAAAGAAAACAATTTTATGGTATTATACCCACATTTTTTTATTGGCCAAACCAAAAGAGAATAGCATGCCTAGCTTAACGCTCTCAAATTACATTCCACAACAATGTAGTATTAGCTTCCACTCACTTTCCAAGACAAAATCCAATGCTGACAGCATCTTCGTAAAACTTCTCAACAATGGTTGTGGTGTTCTAATTCCTGAAAAAGTTGAGGACAAATCAACTAAAACTGCAAAGTAAAAAAAGTCAAACCGAGCAACAGAACTCAGTTGTTGGCAATTTGAGTCAAAACTAAATAGCTGAAAACCAACCATAGCTTAATTAAAACGTTCAAGAAAGTGACCTGTAACATTTCTGAGTACCAGTTGCTCATATGTTGTCTGTTTGTATTATCCTGATGTTACAAAAACTACAAATCGAGAGAAAGAAATGTCATATCTGCTGGGCTGTTCTGTGCTCTCTGCTTGGTTATGGCTTCATCTTTCTCTATTGTTGGTGTTGATTCAGCTGCACTCAGATCCACAAAGAAACGACTGGTGGATAGATCATGTCATCCATGATTTTTTTCTTCTTTTTTTGTCATCTTCTCTCAAAAAAACGACGACGATGATGTCTTTATGACAACGTCTCTCCCCCCTCCCCGGGCGGAGAAGGAGAATGAGCCGGAGACGGGCGGCGGAAATAGCAAAAGGTTGACTGAGGTGTAATTTTTTTTAAGGTTTGTGTATTGAAAATTGTGGCACATGATTGCAGATGGACAGCAATTACGGCGGTCCCAGCACGGCAAATGACCTGAAAACTTGATCTGATCTTCCACAGAGGGAGGGGGAAACCAAAAAGTAAACCCAAACCAAATTTTTATATTGAATCACTTTATATAGACTTTCAGGAAAGATAAATAATAAATAATCTCCTTTTATTTCTTTTTAGCATTTCCACCTCCTTTCGTTCCTTCTTGTCCCGCCGTGCCCCGCCCCTCACCCCCGTCTCTCTCTCTCTCTCTCAGACCTCTCTCGCTTGAATTTGTGGCGACTCTGGCAACAGTAACACCAGTGGAGGAAATCATTTGTGCCTCCAGGCGAGTCATTACAGAGGCAGAGTGTGAGATTGCAGTGACAAAACTCTGTCTCTGGCCTCACGACCAGCCAGAGACCAACACGCTTCTCCACACTCATTACTTCATACCTTCCTCTCCTCTAAAGTTGCCTTCTTTTCTGCGTCTCAACCTTGCCCTTCACATTTCATTATTGGCTCAGGCCAAACTATTCCTATTTGAACGTCATTAATTTGTGTCAAAATCGAATTATGTAAAAAAAATTTGTTAGATTTTTTTTGGTTCAGCAGAAAATGCTGAGGCCAAGTAAACAGACAGGGTCATAAAGAATCAGAGCTTCCAGCCACAGAAGGAAGAGTCCCTCAGCAGATGGTAAGGCCCCAACTGAGTCCCCGTCTCAGCATCATAGAGTCAGTTTGTGTTTACATGACGAGATGCGGGGGGAAAAGTGAGACAGCTGCAGGAGGTTCTCCGTGATACTCGGCCCACCTGGCTCAGAAACGCGTGAGTTGATGTGAAATATTTGACTTTTTCCCCATTACCTGTTTCAGTGGAAAGGATTCCACCTTACTGTTAGCCCCTAAACATCTTTGGACAAACTTGTATTTTCTGCATGAGTAGTGACAAATTGGCTAAAGGGGAGATATTATGTGTTTTCCAGGCCATTTTATACCACTATCAATAACCATAGCTGCATTTTCATTACAAATGTGCGCAAAATGTTGTCAATGTTCCTCTAATGTAAATAAAAACAACACAATTTCCTTAAGCTGCAGCAAATTCACACAAACACAACAAATTCTACTTTGTGCATCAGTTTTACAATGAAAAAAATATGAAAATACTTCTTCTTCCTTTTGCTAGTCACAACTATCATCTTTATTCTATGCTTCTTGTGGCCATGCCCGTATTCAGGTTTTTTATATTTTCCATCTTAATGTTTTCTAAATAATTGCATTTGCTATTTTTCATTGTGGATGGAAAACAGTAGCTGTGCTTCCATTACAAGTGTGCACAAAACTTTGTCTTAATGTTGACAAAGCAGAATTTGGCAATTGCGACGTTTTCATTAAACAAGAAACGCAATTAACATCACATGTGAATAAGTTTGTTCACATGATGAGTCATTAAAAAACATACATCATCATCATCATCATCATCATCATCATCAGAGCACTTCCTGGTTTGCACCAATGGCAGTACCTGGTTGTCCATCATGTATCTCATGTTAAGCGATAAAAGTGTTTCCATTCCAGTTGTGTGAGATTTCGATACGACCGAACAACCCACCTTATCCTAGCGCCAAAACTTTTTATTGAAAAACTAGTTGTTTATTTTTTTAAATTTAGCAAATTTATTTTCAAAATATCAAATTGTGTAATTATATGGTCAATGGAAAGGCAAATTATGTTACCTTTGATTGTTATGAAAATGCTGATGATGATGCCTCCAGTCTGGAAGAGCTGTTTGGGGGGGTGGTGCTTCTGTGGTTGGGGAGGAGCTTTGGGTAAATAGGCGGGGCTTTGTATGAGGAAATATTTTAGACGCTCTGAATGGTTGCTATGCAGAATTTCTCAACCATTCAACGAATCAAATAGACAAATCTGATTAGTCTATTTCACAGGTCAGTGAGGAAGTATAGAAAATGAGCATAGAACATGTAGAAATATTTTGACTTTGACATTGTCCCACTGTTCATCCATCCATCATAATAAACTTTTGCATTTCTAAATTACCTGAAAAGAATAGACTGTTGAATTTTGACAGGAAGGATTTCTGAAATAGACCAAAGAAAACAACTCCTCTGTGTAGCCTGTTTATGCCCCTACTGACCAGAAGATGTCAGCTGTGTGTTAGATGGGGCTAACACACACACACATGCACACACGCATGGATGCATGACCCACTGATGTCCAGCTGCTCCTGTCAACACTGTACTACAGCGTGTAATTCACCCTCACATACAACGGCAGCTGAGTCCTTACAAGAGCCCCAACCCAACCCCCCTGACACACACACACACACACACACACACACACACACTTTACACAGAGAGACGGAAGAGCTCTTGGAAATAAAAATATTAAAAGCTGGAAAACTGAGAAACTCTAGAAGAAATGGAAGTAGACAGAGAAGAAGTCAGGGATGTGATTTGGGTCTTTGGGTCAGAGCCACACAGAGAGACTGGGAAAAAAAAAAAAAAAAAAAACAGACAAAAAAAAAAAAATCCAAAAACAGATGAGGGTGTCTGTGGTGTGTTTAAGTGGCCTAATCAAGGGACCTCCCCTTCAAAGGGAGAACTGGTATGTGTGTGTGTGCTTAAACAGGGAAGGGAGGGGGATACATTGACAGACTGAGTCCAAGTTCCCCTGCAATTATCAACTTACCCATACTCCCTCCTCCTCTTCACTCTTCATCCCCTGAGAGACCCAAGCTGCTGTACCCATCAACAACTCATTCAGGCCTTAACAAAGCACCACCACGCCTACCTACACATACACACATGCACACACAAGTATGTGTCTCCATCTTCTCAGGGACTTTGCATTGACTTCCATTCATTTTTAATTTAATCCCATAGCCTATCTCTTACCCTAAACCTAAGCATCACCAGTACATACCTACCCCTAGCCCAGGGGTGTCCAAACTTTTTATCACGTGGGCCAAAATCGTTGAGTCAGAAGCACTTGTGGGCCAAGAAAGAAAAACGAAACAAAAAACCCCCTAAAATCAAGCAAATAAAGCTGTCAAAGTTTGTATTTATTTATTTTGTAGGAAATGAGTGTTTTTCATCAAAGAGGATACTTACTTACTTACACTTATTTAGCAACCCAGAACAGGGATTAGAACTTGGAATCCAGAAAATCTACCTTAGCAACTACTTTTTAGACTCCTATTCTTCCAACCCAGAAAAAGAATTAGACCAGAGGATACTTACTAATACTTATCTACCAACTCTGAATAGGAGTATCTAGTTTATTTACTTTGGATCAACATTATTAGCTTTTTCTTCTTTTGCTCTTTTCTTTGGTTTATCTTTTTTGTCTTTCCTTTTAATTCCTGTAAATCACTTTGTATTGCTTTGTTGCTGAAAATGCACTATATAAATAAAATTACCTTTACCTTTTACCTTTACCATAGATCCAAAACGTAAAAAAGAATTTTGCACGTTCGCTGTGTTAATTTCTCTAGGTTTTAAAATTCCTTTGGGCTCGGTTGAGCAAATTTAATCTCTGATCTAAGAACAGGATTTGAGTCACTTACTTTCAAAACGATTGAGCTTGAGTTTTATACATTCGATAAAAGTTGATTTATGTGTAGCAAAGTCAACTTTTCAGCAACAGTCTCTGGATAAACGTGACTCTCCTTATTATACAGGCTAGGTTGAAAAAAGACAAAAACTTTGTGTTGTACTTCACATTTTCCACTGTAAGAAAATGATGGCAATAACCTGGTTAAAAATCAAATTTGATACAAAACAAATTTGTGTCATTCTTGAACTGCGGTTGGGGGTTACAAAAATCAGATCAAGGGCCACAAATGTCCCCCAGACTGCGCTTTGAACACTCCTACCCCCAATATAAGTTCTAAATCTAGCAGGACCCAAAACCACACCTATTCTTATGAGTCCTCATAATGTTATATTTGTTGGAAAAATGGTTCTCATGCTGTAGAAGATGCAAGGCCACAAGCAGAGTAAATTCTACGTTGTGCCTCAATTTCACCATAATGAAGATAAAAATATTTCTTCCTCCTTTTGCTAGACATAGCTGTCATTATTCTGTACATCTTGTGTCCAGGCCTGTAATCAGTTTTTTCATATTTTCCATGTTGATTTTCTAATTGTCTGCATTCCCTATGTTCAGTTATGAATGGAAAACTTCAAAAATGTGAAAACTTTGTCAATATTTCCCGAAATCCTATTAAATAAAATAGACAATTAAAATCACACATGAATAAGTTTGCTGATGTGATAAATTGTTAACAAACATTGTCCTCCAACTACTTCCTGTCGTCGTCGTCTTCTTTGTGGTTTCTGCCAGTTGCAACATCTGGTTGTTGATCACATGACTCATTTGATGTGAAAAAAAAAAAAAAACATTTTGGTTGCAGTTTTGTGAGATGATATGCACCAGAACTTTTTGTCTACAAATTAGTTTTTTAGAAATTGTTGTGTTTCCATTAAGCAAATTTATTAAATGTTAAATTGTGGAGTTATATGGTTAATGGAAACGCTGCTACTGAAGCATTTTGACTGAAAATGGATGGATGAACTTTATTTTCTTCTTATACTTTAAAAGAATTATACTTGTAAATATATTTTCCTTTCTTCTTAAATTCCATATTCATCCATAACTTTGGATAAATAGCGTCAGAGTCGACACAAACAATTGAGTTTTATAATCTTTGATCTTCCTCCATGCAACATTTTCCATCTTCATGGTGCGATTGGACTGTAGTAGTAAAAGGAAGACTAAGGTTGTGTGTGTGATGTGTGTATGTGTGTGTGTTTGTTGTTCGTGGCTGGCGCGCGCCGCTCCACATGCTGAACATGCCCTGAGGCCATAGTCTCACCTCCGGCTCTCTTTATTGTGACTCCCTGCTTGAACAATATATGCATTTATGCCTCCCTCTGCACGTGTGTGTGAGTGTGTGTGTGTGTGTATTTATTCTCTAAGCCCTGAGTAATAAGGCTGGCCATGGTGCATCAGAGATAAGGCATTAGGCTGTTGACCTCTGACCTCTCCCTCCGTTTAATACGGAAAATTGTTCGCTAACACCCAGGAGAGACCATGTTAAGAGGCACAAAATGCCTAATGAAATTGGCACGTGTGCATGCATGTGTGTGTGTGTGTGTGTGTGTGTGCGTGTGTGAGTGGGTGTTGGGGAGGCGTTAGTCGGCATTATAAAGCAGCTGTGTTCGGGGTATTGTCCTGATTTCTAAATTAAAAAATTAGCTTTTTGTGGAGATGAATCAAAAAGCTTTTGGCAAACATAAGACGTGTATTTCTGTGTCCTTGTATGCAGCTTCATGGAGCGTCTGGTTGGTGAGACCCCTTTTAGGTTTAAGCAGAGTAACATTTGTTGGATTATTTTAAGTGTCACTAACTGGAAAAGATCCAGCTAAATCAAACAAGGCAAAAACAAACAAACAAAAAAAAAACAAGCGAATGCTTGAACTCTAAATTTCACAGCCTTCCAACTTGAATTTAGTGGTTAAGCTAATGCTCTGGCCAAAACCTGGAGCTCCACGGGGTTCAGCTTTCATGCTCGCCTCATTGTCACACATCACGCTGGTTTTATTTTTTTTTATGTTTTTTTATTTTGTTTATTTTAGTATTATTTTTCAGGATACACAAAGAATTAAATCATATCAAATGCTTTGTCCACTTAGTCAGCCAGAGCTAACACACATAGCCACTCTTGCTGATAAAAACATCAGCACCTCTAACAGAATTTCAACATAGATTTAGTGAAATCTGAGAGAGGAGGCCAAGTTTAACTGGCCAACCTAACAAGCAATAAGTTATAATTGCAGATTATTCATTTGTATTTGTAAATAGAGTAAAACTCAAAGATTAAACTCATAGCATCAGATTGTAGCTGTGGTAACAAAACAATCTAACTATGAATATTGTTCTTTGAACTTTTACAAAGTAAACTTGCCAGCTCCTTAAAATCTTACATTTAAGTGTTGAACAATTTTAAAATCTTTTAATTTACGAAGGATGAAACCATTAAATAAAATGTAATAGCATTGTTAATCTCAATAAACAAATGTTATATTTATATATATCTGTGGTCTGTGTTAAAATATTAGCATTTATTGGGCCCCTGAAGCCTGGGGGGCCTTAAGAAGCTACTGACTTAATTTAGATTAAATAGAAGTGCAAATAATTGACATTCATTTTTATTGTATTTTTTATTTGTTGTTTTTAAGACTATTTGTGGGATTAAATACTGTTTCACTGGTGATGTTTTCAGTAACATATAATTACCCAGTACATTTCCTGTCAACCTTTCTTTTTATACTCTTTATTTAACATTTTTCATTACAATAAAACATGCAACACACACTGAACTTGGGGCACTGATTCTTAAGTAAAAAGACAGGAAGAAAAAAAAAATATATATATATATATATATATATATATATATATATGTACACATTAGAAGATATTACACCCAGTTATGCTTCCTTGCTCTTGTATGTCAGCCATT